AAGTGGGGTACTGTATTCTCCACAAGCTCATATCTGAACCTTCTTAATTTATTTGGCACACACCTCCTAACAACCTCTCCCTAACATCACTGCTCTCCACTGATTTATAGATTATCCCTTTTCACTCGAGATGTTGTTTTTTATATCCCAGAAGCTGCCAATCCTCTCGAGACTTCACCACTCCAAGAGATAAACCTTTTTGTTGTTGTTGTTTTGCTTTTGTTTTTTGAGACAGGGTTTCTCTGTGTAGCCCTGGATGTTCTGGAACTCTCTATCAGGCTGTCCTTGAACTCAAGAGATCCTCCTGCCACTGCCTCCTGAGTGCTGAGATCAAAGGCGTGTGCCACCATGCCCAGATCTTAGCCTCAGATCTCTTGTTTTCTTGAGTTAAGCATCAAAAGCAACAAGTCTCTGCCTCCACCTGTCCTTCACTTTCTGATATTTCTGATATTCTAGTACCTTTCTAATAACCTCAACTTAAATGTTCACACTTTACAGCTTATGCTGAAGTGGACGTGGAGAAAGGGGAACACTCCTCCATTGCTGGTGGGAATGAAAACTTGTACAGCCTCTGTGGAAATCAGTATGGTGATTTCTCAGAAAGCTAGGAATCAACCTACTTCAAGACCCTACAATACCATTGTTGGGCATAGGTCCAAAGAAGGCGCATTCACACCACAAGGACATTTGCTCACCTATGTTCATAGCAACATTATTCCTAATAGCCAGATCTTGAAAAACAACCTAGATGCCCCTCAACCAAAGAATGAATAAAGAAAATGTGGTACAATAATACAATGGAATGCTACTCAGCAGTAAGAAACAATGACATCCTAAAATTTTCAGGCAAATGGACAGAACTAGAAAACAAAAAAAAGCATCCTAAGTGGAGGTAACACAAAACCAGAAAGACAAACATAGTATGTACTCACTTCTAAGTGGATACCAGACATAAAGCTAAGATATCCAGCCTACAATCCACAACCCTAGAGAAGCTAAAACCCTCTTCCAGAAACAGATGGAAGCAGATGCAGAAACCCACAACTAACTAACCTTTGGGCCAAGCTCCTGGAGTACAATCTCAAAGTGAGGGAGGAGCGGTAATATGAACAAAGGAGTCAAGACCATGATGAGGAAACCCACAGAATCAGCTGACCCCAGGAGGTCACTGACTCAGGTCTGACAAATGGGGAACCTGCATAAGACCAAACTAGACTCCCTTAATGTGGGTGACAATGGTGCAGCTGGGACAATATTATGAGGCCACTGGCAGTGGTTCCAAGATCTAACTCAAATGCACAAATTGACTTAATGGAGCCCATTATATATGGAGAGATACCTTGCCCAGCCTAGACACTGGGGTGTGGGGGTGGAGAGGTGCCTTGGTCCTGCCTCAATGAGATGATGGGACAGACTTAGTAGACTTCCTAGGGGAGAACTTACGCTTTCCGAGGAGGAGATGGGGGGTTGGGGGAAGAGTGGGGGAAGTGGAAGGAGAGGAGGGAGGAGGAACTGGGATTGGAATGTAAAAAATAAATAATAAAAAATTAAAAATAAATTAATGTTCACACTTATGTTTAGAAGGCAAAATAACTCTCCAACCACTAGCTCCTGGCTTCTCTGTAAACCTTCCCTAAACTTGACTGTGTACATCGAGTTATTCTCTTGGAAAGATCCTCCACTCATATTCTCTACCATACATGCTTGGTAAAACTCTGGAAGAACCCAGCTACCCAGTTTCTCTGTATCTGCACTCAGCTTGGTGCAGAATGCTAAAGAAAACTCAGACAACTATGTTCATCGACCCTATCATGCATTCTTGATGGCCACCTTCACTCATCAAAGGCCCACACTGCCCTGGTGACCATCCCTTTTGCCTCCTAAGGGTATATGGTTATGGCCTTTCTCATATGACATCTCAAAGTTAACAGATTCAAAGGTCAACTCTTTTTCTGCAGTAGACCTGCTTCTGCTACTCCAAATTTCTTCATCTCGGTGAACTGGTACGATTTCCCTCGAGTTGCTTGAATGAGAACTCTGGGGATCAATCTCTATTCATTGCTTTCCTTCACCCTTGATTCAAACTCTTGTTCTTCAAATATTTCTTGGCTTCACAGAGTAGCCCTGGCTGGTCTGGAACTTGGTATGTAAATGAGGCTGACTTTGCCCCATAGAGGTCTGCCTGCCTGTGCTGAGATTAATAGCAGATGCCACCACGCACAGCCCCTTTAAAATATTTTAGCCTTCTTCACTATACCAGCATACCCAACTTGCCCAGATTTTTATCCTTTTTCACTGCAAACCTTTACCCACTCCCATCTTAGACAAGGGCTCCCCATGCTGTCCAGGATGGTCCCAAACTCCTGGGCCTAAGTGTTCCTCCTGCCTCAGGCTCTGGTACTCTAAGCACACGTCACCATACCCAACCTGCAAACACTTTCTAAATGGTCACCACCTTTTACACAACCATTCTCCACCTAAGAGCTAAGGTCATCTTAGGACATACACCATCATAAATGTTTCTCTTCCCTAAAAATCGGCAGCTCCTTATACTTAGAATCTAAGCCACCTTCCTGACAGTGACCGAAAAGACCCCAAGCACGACAGCCTCTGTTCACCTCTCCTGCCTTCTCCTGTGCGACTGTTATGTCCTACTGCCCAGCCCCAGAATCCTTTTCTAGAAGTAGAGAAGACTAAATCACTTTCTCATTCTGGGAACTCTGTCATCTTACTGGAATGATTTGCCCCCAACCTCTCTCAGCCCATGTTAAGTTCCTGGGACACACACACATACACACACACACACACACACACACACACACACACACCCTGCCACCACACTGCCTGGCACAAACTAAGTATGCAATAATTTTTCTTTGTTACTAAGTACATTTTCATAAATGCCAAGGCCAAAGAAAATGTAATGAGTCTCTAGGCCAGATCTCTCTTTCTGACAGTCAAGATTTGTGGGCCCCAAAGGATTAAGTGATGTGTCAGTGTCAAGGCTACCTCAGTGTCACGGTTATAAACAGAGCAGGGAGTAGCTGCATTTCCTGATACTCCGCCTGCACTCTTCTCCAGGGCCTTACCTCTCCAGCTTTTGGTGCATCTTTATTCTCATTTTTCTGTATCATTTATAATCACTTAAAATTCTGCCTTCGTCTGTGCTGTGTTCCAGTATTAAAGTACAATTATGCTCATTCAGTAGAAGTACATTTTCCATGGGACCAGCACAATAAAAGTAATTTGGATGAAGCCTCTCATTTTCATCGTTCACAATTAGCTAAACTTATCACTATTGAAACTGTCTCCTTTTCCCTCCCCCAGCTGATGGACTGGCTGAGAGGCCGCAGCCAACACTAGCTCACTCACACCTCCAGGCAGCCTGGAGCGGCTCTGATGTTGCTAAAGAGTCGGGATGCATATTTCTCTCTCCAAATAGGTTATCTAAGTACAGTGCCAAAGAACGAAAACCAAGATCAACTAAATAAAGAAATAATACAAAAGATCGTAAGGGTAGGGTGAGCATTGGAGAGGGAGAGACTAAGGTTGCGAACAGTGGGGAGTCCTGAGGGTGAGGTGGGGGCAGAAGTCTGAATTCCATTTTGTCTACAGTGATGGAGCGATAATTAAACATAGCCTGGAATAAGTTTTTATTTCCATTAAAAAAAGAAAGAAAAGAAAAACTATCTGCCAGAAGAGTAAAAATCTGACACCAATCCTGCTCCACGGGATAGTAGAGATAATAAATGGAAACCACACATCCAAAAAAAAAATCTCTTTATCTCTCTACGTTATTTTAAGAACAAGATTTTTAGGGCATAATTTTCAACAAGTTTCAGCCGAGGCTGCACACGGGACGCGGAGATAATTAAGGACACTAAAAGCACAGATCAATTACTTCCAACGCAAAATGGCCTGAACACAGCAGAATTTCCTGAGTGGGCAAAGCCACTGCCGGCATTATTTACCTGTTTGTCAAGCAGCGCTTCCTAACAGTGAAAAGTGCTGCATCAATCCAAAGTGACTGGTAAAAGTAACCCGCGGGTCCTTTCCCTTTCGAGCACATCCCACCCCGGGGCAAGGTCTCCTCTCCCGGCCTCCTTTCTGCTGGGCCCGACCTGAGGACTTCCCCGGGGCTCCGGGGAGGATCACGGAGAGGAGGGGGGCGGAACGGGCGCGTCGGACACCCCTTCCGCTGCCCTCCCACCTGGCCCGTCGGCGCCCGCCCTCCCGCCCTCCCGCCCGCCGAGTCCGGGAGGGAGGATGCGGCGCACGGCGCCTGCGGCACGCGACCCCGGGCCACCCGCCACCCCCGGACTCGCCCCCGGCTCGCTCACCTCCGCGCCCTCCTCTCCGGGCCTCGCCGCGCCGCGGCTCCCACGCGCCCAGGACCAGCCGAGCTCCCGGGCCTACGGAGCGCTCCTCCCGCCGATCTCCCGCCCCCCAGCCGGACCGCGCCGGGGAGGAGGAGCAGGGGGAGGCGCGCAGAGGCGGGAGTGGGCCGGGGGGCGGGGGGGGGGTTGGCGGTGACGCGCCGGGGGCGCGGGGAGGGCGGGGGACCACCCCGGGCCGCGGTCCCCACGCCTGCGCGCGCTCTTGCGGAGACCCCCGCGGAAGCAGCCCCGGTGAATCCAGCCCGGGTCTACACTCCACTGCCTCCGAGACGCTCCGGACTTGGCTCTGATTAGTGCCCCCCCTCCCTTCCCGCCCCCCGCCCTCCCCCCATTCTCCAGGGCTACTCTGTTCCATACAAACCTCGAAGAAACTGCGCTTTTTCCTTCGGGCTCCACTGCGTCCTTGAAAGAGAATGATCAGGAATGTCCTTTCACGACCCGCATTTTCAAACTCCCCGGGACAGGAGGCCGTTCGCCGGGGGCTGCAGGGGATAGCCTGCGGACCCCGACCTTCACTGTCGCCACCGTGCTAGCCAGCTTGGTGGGGACTGGAAGGTTAAGCCGCGAGTCCGGAGCCCTGCGTGCCTGCGGAGAGCTGCTTACCTCCAGACTCCACTCCGCAGTGGCCTTGGAGCATCCAAGGTTCGCTGAGCTGTGTAAGGGCACCTTGGGCACCGGGTAATTTTTCCCCCCTCCTTTTGGATTACCAAGTCGATAGCTATCCTTTACCCTTTCGGTCAAAAGTATCAGTGGAGATTTTTTAAAATATAAAATCAATTTATCTAAAATTCTCAAATCGGGTTTTTAAAAATCAGATGTTAATAAATTCTCATTTCAGCTAATTAGGTTTAAAAATTATCTTTCTTGGTGGTTTATTAACCAGGCAAAGCAGAACAAAACCAGAGGAGGGTCTTGGATCGATCCTTGGGGCACTGCACTTTCCCCTTTGAAAGCCATGCACAGATTAACCTTGACAAGAGCACATCCTTTGTTTGATCCTTGTGACAGGCATCCCTACCCCGCCCCCAAGGAAGGTTAAGGGTTAGCGTTTAGGCATAAACTCGGAGGCTAGTGAAGTGTCAGGGTGTGGAAGAGCTGACAGCTGGCAAAATACTTTCCATTTGGGTAACTGGAAAAAAATCCTTATCTTTTCTATCAGTGTTTATTATGTGTCACTTCAGCTACTGTCAAATAATGAAAACAGCAGGGTATTTCTAACACTTCTGGGGTACCAATGGAGAAAATTATTGTGTCTTTGGCATTTGATGAGAAGATATAGCTTTTCTGTCACATAAACAAAAGTGTTATATAATGTCTAGCAAAGGTTATTATGATTTTTCCAAGTAGCATAAACCATAAGTTATTATAGAAAACATAGGCAACCTATACATTTAAAATATCTCTAAAAGTTGTTTTGACATGGGATTTGCTTATGTAAAAAAAAGTAAAACCATTTACCTCCTAAAAGAAGGAATGAAGTCAACAATGTGCAATTTCCAGAAGGAATATCTGCTATGTTGCCAAAGATGGCCATTGTGGCTTCAGAGCACAGCTGTCTTTCGGGCCATTTCACGAGCCAGTGGTCACTTTTACCAGTGTTTTCTGGTTACACTTTCAAAGTATATAAAGCTAATTTCACAAGCCTTTTCCAGGTCATGAAGCACTCTCTGAGAAACACCCTCAGTTCCCTGAAGTAATTTATTCCACTGAAGAACAGCAATAATTCATTAAATGAATCTCTAGTGGCCCAGAGGTGTTAACATAATTTCTGCTTTGAAGTTATTATACTTTGAATAACTTTGAAATGACAATGCCTGAGGAAACTTTAAGCACCTGGACCTCTCTGGCAACTCTAAGAACATGTTTGCTGAGTTCCCGCCATACCTCCTGGATGGTGGGCACTCTTAAGAACATGTTTGCTGAGTTCCCGCCATACCTCCTGGATGGTGGGCACTCTTAAGCCATGCAGAAGACAGAGTGACTGCAAGTCTTCCAATTGCTGTGCGGGGGGGGGTGGTAAATTAATAAATAGCTGCTGATAAAATGTGCACAAGTCACTCTCCATATGTGAAGTAAGTGTAAAGCATGATAACAGAAAAACAGAAGACTTTGGGGTGTGTAATGGGTAGGACCTTCACTCTAGAGAGCCGTCATGCACATGAATGGGTTAAAGGCTCAGTGACTTTCCACACTAAAGACATTCACTTGACCCATTTTCAGCAAATACCATTGTTTGACAGTACAGAGGCTTTGTAATGATGCTTATTGATAGAATGACCTTTGTATGAAACTGATTATTTTGAAATTAATTTAATAAACATAAAAGTCAGTTGATGCTATCTAAAATTTGTGAATGCATACTTAGATACTTCAATGTGTGTGTGTGTGTGTGTGTGTGTGTTGTATAACTGACTTGAAATAGATTGTTTGAAGACTGTGGTGTTTTGAATAAGAATGGCCCCCATACGATCATATATTTGAATACTTCATCACTATGGAGTGGCACTATTACGAGGTGTGGCCTTATTGGAGGAAGTATGTCACTATGAGTTTCAAAAGGCAAGCCAGTCCCAGTAGTCTCTCTATTCCTGCTGCCTGCCAGATGTAGAACTCTCAGCTCCTTCTCCAGCACCCCTGAGCTTTAGGCAACCCCCAACTAAATGCTTTCCTTTATAAGAGCAATAGAATGTTTACTAAGGTAGAGACAGAATATACAACATTTATAAAGCAATTAAATATACAAATATGCATCTGTATGAAATAAGCATTTTGTAGTTAGCATTATTTTATGAGCATCTTTCCATCAACATAATTAGGGGCTTTTTTTTCTCTTTAAGCTGGTCTCACTATGTAGTCCTTGCTATTCTGGACATGGACCATGCTATGTAGACCAAACTGGCTTTGAACTCTTCTGGAGTGTTGGGATTAAAGGCATGTACCACCACACACACCAAGAGAAAACTGTTAATGGCTATGTATTCCATAATACAATATGTAGTAGTCTAACACAAAGCTTTAAGAAGATGTATTTTTTTTCAGCTGGGCATGGTGGCACATGCCTTTAATCCCAGAACTTGAGAAGCAGAGGCAGGCACATGTTTGTAAGTGCAAGGCCAGCCTAGTCTACACGGCCAGATTAGCCAAGGCTATATAATAAGACACTATCTCAAAAAAAATTCCAACTCCTTTTGTGCTATGAGTAATACTGTTTTAACATTTTTATGTAACTTATTCTTTAGGGTATTAAATGGAGAGAATTTTTCTTTAAGATATACTCCAAAATGTAGGTTTGTTAAAAATACTTTTGTGGGACTGGAGAGATAACTCAACAATTAAAAGCACTGGCTGTTCTTCCAGAGGACCCAGGTTCAATTGCCAAGTGGTGGTGCTGGGAACAGGCAAAAGCACCTTGTCCTAAGTACAGCCAACTTGACTTCAGACTCCGTTTTACCTGTGGGGTGAAACAAAGTTCAGGTTCCCAAGCCCTAGGGGAGCTGGGAACCATCCAATAGCTGACCAACCTCCTTCCTAAGCCATAGAAATCATCGTTCTGCATCTTTAGCTCTTAAGAAACATCATGGCTGTTCCTAACAACAGAAAGAACAAATGAATCTGATTGGTCGGACTGGAAAGCTTGCATTGTATGTCAGCTGACAATGATGGAGCATTCAAGGAAGCCCCTAACCTCTAGACTCTGATTGGTGAAAATTGTGACTGTGACTTGGTAACAAATGTTTGTGATTGTTGTGCTTAAATACTTGCTTCAAATGACATTCAGGGTTGTAGTTCAGCTCCTGAGTCTGATCTGCGGCCCTGATCCATCAGCCCCCTCCCTTCCCACTTCCTTAGTGCACTGTGCGTTAAATATTACCTTGCAGTATCCTCTTGTGTCTGCTTGGGTTGATCCGGAGCCTCAGTCCCCAGTGACTTACTTACAACTGTCTGTAACTCCAGGTCCAGGGCGTTTGACATCCTCTATTGACCTCCCTGGGCACCAGGCACATATATGGTACACAGATATATATGTAAACAAAACACCCATAAAATAAAGATAAAAAGATTCTTTTGAATTATTCTTTCTGGTTATATGTCTTAATTATTTCTATTACTTTGAAATTTATTATGCAAAAATATGAGTGTATTGATATCTTTTAAATTCAGCATCTCATTAGCAATGGATCTTATTTTTATGTATGTTTAAGCAGATTAAGCACTTTATAATATATGCAATTAAAATGGATGCATAGGAAACAGTACAAATACCTGGGAAAATTTGGTTGGGTGGCGTTGTCATTAATCTACTATTTCCCTCCTATTGTGCATCTCCTCTGTGAGTTCTTTTAATTTTATGGTAATTAAAAATAATGTATGAGTTAATAGAGATGACTCTACTGGTGAGAGCAATTGCTACTCTTGAGGAGGAGCCAGATTAGGTTCCCAACACCCACAGGATGGCTCACAACTGTCTGTAACTTCAGTTCCAGAGCATCTGATGCAATCTCCTAGGCACCAAACAATGTGTATGGTGCCCAGACACACATACAGGTGAAATACCTATATACAGAAAATAAAATAACCACACGGAATTTAAATTACAGTAACACTTAGAAAAGAAAAATATATAGATTACCAAAGCTGACCTAGGCCCATGTGACATAAAGAAGTCAAACTCTTGAGTAGAGTCCCCGTGCAAGGATCTTGGTAATGCTCATGTAGAAGACGTCTTTCTAAAGTTTCAGAAGGACTAGACCAGGTAGCACATCAGCAAGGTTCTGTATTTCTTCATAGCTTTGAAGTGAGCAGAAAGCCTTGGAGACAGCAGCCACCTTGATTTCACAGTTTTCAGCCCCTGATGAGCTGGATAGAATTCACAGATACTGGCAGCCACTTACAGTGCTTTTTCTGATAATGATCAGACAAACTCTACATCAAAATAAAATGACAATCACATGCTCATGTCTTGATGTGGCCATGCTTAAATTTAAATGCTAGTAAATGATACTTGCTATCTTAAAAGGCACTTATCTCACAGAGCATGATGGCACATACCTTTAATGCCAGCATTTAGGAGCTAATGGCAGGCAGATCTGGGAGTTTCAGGCTAGACAGGGCTACAGAAAACCCCATCTCAAACAAACAGAATTTAAATTGTACATACTTTGGAGGATGTCACTATCCTCTACCAAGCACTTAAAATGTGGGATTTTGCTGGGTGGTGGTGCTCGTCTTCAATCCCAGCATTAGGGAAGCAGAGGCAGGTGAGTTCAAGTGAGTTCAAGGCCAGCCTGGTCTACAAAGTGAGTTCCAGGACAGTTAAGACTGTTACACAGAGAAACCCAGTTTCAGAAAAAACAAAACAAAAAGATGTGGGCTTGTTTGCTTGTTTAATGAGCTGGGTGTGACAGCATTTACTTATAATTGCAATACTTGGAAGACTGACACATTTGGATTTAAAGTTTGGGAGTAGCTTGTTCTATGTAACCACTCTGTCTCAAAGAAAATAAATTAAACCTTAAAAATTCCTTACTAGTGAATTTAATTTTGGGTTTCATGAATTACCACCTTATAACTGAGTAAAAGCATGCAATTTCAGAGCATGCGTAAATAAAAACATGCATACCTGCATTTTATCACCTTGTATTTACAGATTGTAATGGTTTCATATATTTTTATGAATAATGTATTTTGATTACAGTCACCTCCTATTATTCTCTCCCGTCCTATTTCCACTCCTGATGATTTCCTACTCTTCCAATAGTGTGTGTGTGTGTGTGTGTGTGTGTGTGTGTGTGTGTGTGTGTGTGTGTCACTGAGTTTCATAAGGGTTACTTATAGGAACGTGGGTGATAAAGCCATTCATAGGAACATGGGCATCTTACTAGTGGCTGTGCCACTGAAGAAAAAGCCTGTCCATACCTCAGCAACCATTAACTGCCCCTAGATTCTCGGGGAAGGAAG